ACTGATGCTTGCTCCTCAGATTGTCCACCTGACAGGAACACTATACCAGGAACAGAAACAGGAACAGTCCTCTGCAGTGTTTGAACTGTTGCTTGAGCACATTGTTCAGGGGTGTACTTGGTTGGGCAACTTTGTCCTATAAACAATATCGTTTCACTTAATGTTTACAGGGGCGGATCCAGGATTTTTTTCAGTAAGAGGGGGGGAAGGGTAGGGGGGCAATAAAATGGCGCGACTTTTGGCGGGAAATTTGCATGACGGATTAGTTTGGAGAACTTATCAAATAGTAATTTCCAAAATAAATTAGCGAATTAATTAGGAAACTAGCTAATTCACTTGTTATTTTTCACTTTAAAAGATACACAATACATTTATATAAATTTAGAGCAGTAGAGACACCAAAACAACACAAAGGCGGTTGTCCTAGTACCCCTGTACGCGATTAAGATTTTTTTTTGCTTTTTTTCCCTATACTTATATCAATGATTTAATCACCTTTGTTGCCACAAACATTTTTGACATTTGTGCATTTKTTTGCATAATTCCATCGCTTCATTCGTCGCCATGCAGTCACTACATGATAAATCTTTTAATTTTAACAATTAAATTTATAACCTTTGTTTCATTGTACCTGCAGTGACCATGTTGGGTTTCAAAAGCGTTCCCTCTAAATACACGTGATGATCAATCAGTGCCTTGTACTGGTGAGAAAGAACGGCTTCGGTGACGGTTTGAGCTCTTTCCAAAGTATGCTCACCGTCACAGAGCACTTCGGGTTCCACGATAGCAACAAGACCATTTTGTTGGCAGATAGTAGCATATCGTGCAAGGACATTAGCATTTTCCTTCATGGCTAATTCTGACGGTGTCGTGTCACTTATTCTAAGGACGCAGCGCCATTTAGCAAAGTCACAGCCATCTTTCTTGTACTGCGCACAACGTTCAGCAAGACCATCCAAACCTTCAGTGGTGCTTTCTTCTAAAGTTCCCGCAAGTGGAACAACTCCTTTTTCGACCTTGATCCCAGAAACGATCCCATTATCGCGAAGGATTTTCACAAATGGAGTCCCATCGTCTGCTTTCTGGTACAAGGTTTCTTCAACAAGAATTACACCGCTAATGGCATCTTTCATGTTCGCACCGCTCGTKAACAAAAGTTGCCGGAACTGGCGACGATTTTCTTCGGTGTTCTTAACGCCGATTCCACTTAGACGTTTTCCCATTGTACCTGCACTTTCATCTACTGCAAGAATCCCTTTACCAGGAGCTACAATAGCTTCGGCGATTCTTTTCAGCTCTGCTTTGAGGTCAGGAGTCAAAGGGGCATCCATATTCAATTGTAGACTTGCTTTCTCCATTACGTGCAGCTTTTAGAAAAGATTGAAGTAGTGAATGAATCCTATTAACGTCGATACCTTCTGATCCCTGTAAGCTGATTGGTTTAATTATAACCGGTCGCTATGATACACGTAAGGCTTTTGGCAACGTAGGCTAATTGATACATGTCTAAGGGCGTTTTTATTCATGACATGATATACATCCTACATGGCACTATTAGAAAATATCACTACATGACCTTCAAGTTTTTTTGTAACTTTTTTTCTAGAAAAAAAATGATTTTTCGACCTTCGCTGAAAAGAAACTAAACTGAAAAATTATTTGTTCCCAATGGTAATTAGTTTCGAAGCCATTTTGTGAGATATGCCAAGATGCGGATGCCTATCTAATTTGCATATTACGTATTTTTCTTTCATATTTTAACTTACAAAGGTCCAAACCCATTGGAGGTTGTTGAATCTCAGAGAAAATTAACGAAGTTGAACGAATGTTAAAACAAAGATTGAAAGCATCTGCGCATGTCTGTATAATTTTATTTGGTTGATAAATGTTTTGCAAAGAAACACTGAGATAGATCTTGAGTTCGTTTGCGCCGGATTTTACAAGTAACACATGAGATAGGATGTCGCTAGAATTCCTTTGGTGACGAGCATATAAAACACCCTAGATTAAAGGCCATGTGCATTCAAGAACTTTTGCGATCGTATGCTTTAGTTCGAAAATGATCTCTTGTTGGCAGTTTATTTTTGACTGGTTAAAAACCAAATATGTCGATTTTGCGTATGTGAGAAAAAGAAAGGTTCTTGGATTCACCTAAATCGAGGCTTGAGCCTTCCATACTTATGTCAGCGGTGTTCCTTTTTAACTTGCATTCAAAATGGCGGACAAACTTTTCAGAAAAGTTTCTTTGACAGTCCATATAGCTTATAAACATGTTCTGTTAAACACATGCAATATGGGAAGGAAGGTATTTAATTAAATATTTACTATTCATGCAAGTACTAAAATAGTATTTTTTTTCTTGCTAACATAGTGGAGATTTTATCGTCAGGAATTTCAAGAGATCGATAAAATTTTCCATAATTTTGTATTTTTAAAATGAAATTTGAAATCTTAAGACCGAAAAGATACTGCCCAMAGTTTTTGTCCGGGAGAGTTGACATTCCTGAACCGTTTTGTTCCGTAGAACGTGTCCTCATTGCGATATGCGAGTCGTCTTTCAGCCATTACTGAGTCTTCTTCTGACAAATCAAAGAAGACGCCAGAAACTCCAATAAAGATCAGACCAAGAATAAAATCGCTTTCCAAAGAACATCCTCCAGAAAAAGAGAAAGTATGTCTAGCCCATAATATGCATGATTATAATTGATTGATTTAAGCTAATTAGTATCTCGAGTTTAAAAAATATTATTTTTCTATTGTAGAACGATTTATTGTGTTTAACCTTCTCTACAAGCGAACAGTATAATTTGCTCGCGTTGCGTGACACCATGAATGCAATGAAAGAAAATTACACAATCACTGTTTTACCAAAAGGTATCAGGTATCATAAATTATCATAGCCTGTCCAATACTCCATTTATGAGTTCCATGCGCCATCCTGAAGGGTAACCAAGCCTTTGCATTAAAGTGTGATAGGACAGGAGTAGAGCTTTCAGTGATGGATAACTTTTATTCACACCTGAGTCAACTATTCACAGGTATCTATTAATTGTAAAGCTCAACTGTAGTCCCGCTTTAATGCATAGCCTTGTTTGCCTTTCAAGATGGCTTAATTAAGGCACACATCACCATCCATATTCTTTATGYTGGTATGAAGGGGAGATTGATTTCTTCACATTACAAAAAAATCAATCAAACAAAAAAAAATAAATTTAAACAACTGCAGGGCAGTATCCTGTATAGTCTCCTGGAAGCCGTGTTTAGTTTCAGTAATGCATAATGCATCCTCGGGAACCCAGGGGTAATCTTCTGTCGTTCGTTCCTCACTCCCAGAAAAAATACCCCTGCATGGCACGAAGTCAGTTAGGCCTTGTTCTCGATTCAAAATTCAAAATGGTGGCCAGTAAGTCAATCAACCAATCAGAATGTTCAAGTGAATCACTCGACCAATCAGAAATTCACCGGCCGCCATTTTGAATTTCGAATCGAGAACAAGGTCTAACAGACTTCGTGCCCAGGGGTATTTTTTCTGGGAGTGAGGAACATACGACAGAAGATTGCCCCAGGGTTCCCGAGGATGTGCATAATGCTATCTCTTGTGTGAAGCTCCACTATATCTCAACTATCGACTATATCATACATTGTACTGCATTGTCAAGGAATGTATTCAACCCTTTTTCTTCATATGTTGATTATGAACATGTTGTCGAAGAATGCCACCTCTATTAAGGCCGATTTAGACGACACAACTTTTGCTTACAACCATTGTATGCAACCTGCATAAGTCATCCTTACGACATGGTTACATCTGTCATATGGA